TATCTATTTATCTATTACTATCTTTCTTTATATTTATTTGTTTATTTTATCTCAATTGTTTATTCAGTTATTTTTTTTCGATTTCTTATTCACTCATTTTTATTATTTACTTATTAATAAATCTATCTTTTCATTCGATTTATATACGTTTTATCATTTTTAGTAAGTAGTGTTATTTTTTTCATTCTTTTTGCTTTTTTTTCATTTTCTTTTCCTCACTTCCCCCCTTTTTTCATTCTCCTTTCCTCTTTTTCCCTTTTTTGTTTTTTTCTTTCTACCTCTCCCCTTGCGGTTTCCGAGATTTGAGTTTCGTGTTATAACTGAATTTAGGAGTGCCACAATCTCCGTTTTCTATCTTCGTACTTGGCCGAGCGGAAAATCTAAGATGGTGGATGAATCATTTTGATCCACTGTGATAAACTTACAAGCTCTCTTTCCTCCGTTTTTTTCCTTATTCAGCTTAATTACATCGATAAAGGCTGTCATTAGGTCGGTATTTGATTATTCCATTTATGTATATTTTTTACGAGGTTTTAATTTTTTATTCAGCTTAATTACATCGATTAACGCTGTTTTAAGGTCCGTATTTGATTATTCCATTATATCAAATACGGACGTATATATATATTATATATATATATATATTTACGGGGTTTTCATTCTCGTTACTTATTTTATTGGGTAAGTTTAATTATTGATTTATTCTTAACATGTTTTATTGAACAGGATAGTGTTTCCTAATGTCATTATCTAAAAAGAGGAAAGGAAAAAATCTTATTTAACTTTTGTTGCTTTTTTTTTTTTTTTTTTTTTTTTGCGGTGTACTAACACACCCCTAATACCAACAATATTGTAACCCAAGAGCGGGTATCATGATCATACTCAGAACTAATTTCCTATGGTTGCTTGCCTTGTAGACTTCCATGATATTAAAAAGGAAAACAGACACAATAAGGTATGAAATTGAGTCGGGACGTTTCGAACTTGATAAGAGTTCCTTCTCAGATGAACATTGGACTGAAATAGAGTTCGAAACGTTATAATTGTATTTCATTTCCTTTTTTTTTTTTAAATCTTTATGTACACGTTAACTGGTCTTGTCTTTCTTTCTAACACTTAGTAAGTACAGTGTCCTGATCCGTGACTTATCGTAATCTTCGTTTCAATCTTTATCGAATATTTTTGTTTAGAGAGTAAATGGCAATTAAAAATTTTCATCATGAATTTCTACTTTTTTCAAAAATCGAATGACAAATTCCATCTAAGCGATGTCTTCAGTAAAGATGTATAAGTAAGATACTTTTTATTAGGCGTCGAAATATGTGAATGAATGTAATCATAAACTAATAGTATAACGTCCGAAGAACCGTTTGGTATCGACCCATTAATCCGATTTAATTAATTAATGTTGTGTGCTCATCCGGCACGCCCTCCCACGCCACGCCCATCGAGAATCAGTAACAAACCAGTTGATGAGATAAGATGTGTCAAGGTACTTATTAGCTATCAATATGAAGAAAAATTACAGGCAATATTTTTAGATATACTATAATTCTATATTCATATTTATTATGAAAACCCAACATAATTACATATGGCCTAATATACCTTAAAAAAACAGATAATGTAGCCGTAATTTTAACAATGAATTTTATATTTATAGGTCTGCACTGAACACATGCCTCACCTTCTTCCTGTTTATGCAAATTGTACATTGTTGAAATCTTGTAGTTGGGGGGCTTCGGCAACAAAGAAACCCATGAATAGCAAAGAAACAAACACCGACGTATGTAAAACAGGAACTGATGTGCAAACATTCGGTAAGATGCAGAAAGTTACAGAGACAACCTTACAACACACGAAATTATGTGATTCCATAGCTAGCAGGAAGTTGTCATTCAGTCTGGCTTGCTGGGGAAATTTTTGCCGAGAATAAAAAAATACAGACACTTTCTCATATTACATTACATATGACTGTGACATTTACCAATATTACAATACATTCGACTGATATTTACAAATATCACATTATATATGACTGACATTAACCAATATATCACCAGTTTCTTATACAAGTTGTCTACTCAATAGTTGATACATCATCCAATGTTACTGCTGTGATGCCAGTCTTCCATTTCAATAAATATTAATATACTCACAAAATACTCTTTTTAGGACTGCGAAAAAAGATTTGAAGTGTGAAGTTTCTCTCCCGTAGAATAAGATAAGCAGTCTAATGCATGACAATGAGATACAGGGAAAAATCGTTGTGCATGGATTCAACATACATACATACGCACGTACAGTCACTCAAGAACATGCTCATATACATGTCGGTATATATGATGTACGTACGTGCATGCATCTGTATTTGTATATCTGTCTACTATATATCTTTATACATGTTTGTATGAAGACATACAAGTACACGCACGCATGCACACACACACACAGACACACACACACACACACACACACACACACACACACACACACACAC